TTATTGAGTTTTGTAACATTTGGCTGAACACCTGGACCAGTCTAAATGGCAACTCTCAAACAACCCCAAGCCTCATTTACTGGTACAGGTGATGAACTAACAGCTACAGACATGGTTGCTTGCTGCTCTGGTAATTGTGCCAGTGTGAGAGAGAGGCAAATGTAAAGGATTTGTTGGCTGTGGAGTGAATTTAGGTATTTTACCAATTAGGAAGCGGGTCCAAAATGGAGCCTGCTATTGGAACCAATCACTGAATCTAAACAAAGTTTTATGCATCTGGCCCCTGGTACCTTCCAGGCGTGTTGCATCAATAATTAATTTCAAGTCAGACATCAATACGATGTCAGTAGGTGGGTTTCCATCTTCCATTTTGAGTTTGCACATGAAAACCTGAGTGGAAACAAAATAGGAAAAATGTTTTTATGCTCAGCTGAGGTGTTAAAGCCTGTGTCAGAATGTAAAATTGTAACTATAAAAGTGTAAAATGCAACAAAGCGCAAACAGAAACAGCAGAACAACAGAACCATAGCAAATAATATACATCCACTGAAATGTTCACTCCACTGGAAGAAGTAAGCGGTGGCTAATGACAGTATCTGATCTGTGTGATCCTCACATTAAAACATAAAACTAATATAAACGCCAGATTTCTGCCATATTTACAAGTTGTTTTTCCGTGTCGATCTTTTAATCATGTCATCCTGTGGTGTTCTCAGTGGCATCTGAGTGGAGAATTAACTGATGAACCAGCTGCTAATGTTTATGGATGGAAACATGCATTAATTAGCATTTTCTTTTGCCAGTTGTCTTAAAAGTTAGTTACAATTCTGCTGGATTTGGATGCAAACTAGGCAATTACATAGCTTTTCTTATATACACCCTAATAATGTACAATACCAAATTAAAAACTCATCACACTCGTCCCTCAAGGGAGGTGTTATCAACTGGCAAAAAACCTACAGCTAGGAACTCATGGTAATATTTTTGGTAATATGTTGTCGTGTTTTGTAGCTGTTGCCATCGATGTTGGTGGGTTGACGGCCAATCATTAATGATTGTTTGTCTGAGTATCTGCACTGTTTTACTGTTGTCAGAAGTGACTGGAGCAGTGTCAGTGTGTTCATCATGAGAGACAGCAGAACGTGCAAAGACAGCCGCAGACCTGTTAACATCAAAAGAAGAAGAAAAACAGACATCGAGCTAATAGACATGTAACTTTGCAGTTTTACTGATTTTCTAGACTGTGTGACTGTTTCTCTTGTGGCTGCTGAGACCTGTGCCGATCAACTCCTAAATCCTTGAAACAATGCTAACCCAAAACCATTTTAATGGATTTGAGTTTTGTGGCTGCTGCTGTGAGGTGGGCGAACAGGCCTCAGTGGAGGTGATGGAGGGATGTTATACCTGCTGGCCAGCGTCGGCTCAGGCAGGAAGCAGGAAGAGCCTGCTCTGCTGGGGAAAACTAATAAGCAGTGACACTGCCTGGTTAGGGCAGGAAGGATTAGAGGAACAAAAATAACTCACTTCTCTTTCTTATTAGCCGTGTGTGCATGTTTGTGTCATCGTGTTTGTGTGGAAATGGCTCCTCTAACAGTTTTTCATTAAAAAAAAAGTTTGTGTCAGAAATTCACTTAGAAGTGTTAATGGGGGCTTTTTTATTTTGGTTTTCATGGCTGTGAATGCATGTGTCCATATTTTTACCTAAAATAACACCTCTTACCTGAATATGGAGATGAAAAAGCAGCTCTAGACCTCACAGCTTCATGCAACTAGGGCTTGTTCAGACAGTTCATTTTCTTTATTCACAGCAGTTTACTTCTGCTTTCTCAGTGACTAACTGCAGATACTTACATAATAAAAAAAAAATAAAATAAAATAAAAGAAGACTTTTTTTATTGTGTGAACTTGCTGTTGTTTTTATGCTCTGGATACTGCAGAAGAAGAAATTTTTTTTTTCATTTCATTATTGTCATATTTTTGACAAAATGTCAAACTGCTCAGTGCAGTGTTGAAATAAACAAGCTAAACCTAAACTCCCCAAATGAAATATGATCTAAAAGTCAGTGTGATCAGGAAATATCTTATAAAGGATTGGATTGAAAAAGTCTAACGACCTGTCTGTGGCAACTGGCACTTCTCAGGTCTCTCTGTGTTCATTTTAGTGTTGTGGTTCCCAGCCCAGTTGCTTCCCAGTTACAGTATATATTGTTTTGATGGTTATTACTTAGTGTGTTTTTATAAAAAGTGTATTCTTGGCATTTCCATTCAAGCGCTACATGGTCCAGGTGCTTTATGACTAGTCTGTAATTCTCCATCCTGTTTCATTTTCTCTCTCTCAGATTACCTGTGCAGCCCGGACGAGAACATTTACAACATTGACTTTACCAGATTCAAGATCCGAGACATGGAGACCGGTACAGTGCTGTTCGAAATCACCAAACCTCCAACCACAGGTGAGTCACTGACTGTGGATCTGTTTCATTTAACCTTTATTTACCATGACAATACACAACATAAAGCAGCTTAATACCTGTGAGATGCAACATCCACTACATAATATTCTTCTTGAGTTTTTTTCATTGTCAAGTCTATAAAATGTATAAAAAGATAAACTATAAACTTACCTGAGACTCACCATGTTTCTAAGTTTTATTCAGTGTCCACTGTTAATCCAGCAACAGTTGTTCGTGCATCCGTGGGTGCATTGCAGACAGAAACTGCTGATAGCTAATTCAAAATACTTTTAATACTGTCAATTTTGTAAACAAATGTAAACGAAAATAACAACTAGGGCCCAAGTTGTAGCCGGAGGCCTACAGTATGATTACACGATCTGTTATCCCATGTACTCCAACAATGGTTAGTTTATTTGGTTAAAAACCTGGTGCTTATTCTCTACCACTACCAAACAAATGCATAATTTTTCTATGAAGCTGTTACTTATTCTGGTTTTTCGAGATTGTATTTGTTGTAATATGTTTGGTTTTTAGTCCACCCCTGAGAAACTAAAATAAAATGTCCACATCTAAAAGTATTTCATTTCATCTAATTTTGTTTTGTTCTTCCATACAAACTCATCTTCCCCTTAGATAAAGCAGGAGAGCGGAGGGATATTGACCCAAACGCCGGCCGATTTGTCCGTTACCAGTTTACCCCGGCTTTTCTCCGACTGCGGCAAGTTGGAGCCACGTAAGTGAGAACATGTGTGAATCTTGATTTGCAAGGACACAATTAGGATGTATCATCTGTTTCTCTTTGTTTTGCTCTCTGTGATTTTTCTGTCCATCCGCCTTTGTCCCTCCAGCGTTGAGTTCACAGTTGGAGATATGCCAATAGAAAACTTCAGGATGATTGAGAGACATTATTTCAAAGAGAAGTTGCTCAAGAGTTTTGACTTTGAGTTCGGCTTCTGTATGCCCAGCAGCAAGAACACCTGTGAACACATTTACGAATTCCCACCTCTGTCTGAGGACATCAGTGAGTCAAACAATCTGTATTAAATAACTACAGTGTCTAACCTGGCTCCAGCTTGTGTATTGCATACAGTCCAGTCACAGAGATAATCTTCTGTGAGCTTTTGGAATTGAAACTTGCCAACCATTTTAACTATTTAATTGAAAAGAAACTGGTTAAAATGATATTTTTCCTGGATAGGACCGGATTATTTTTGATTCTGCGTCATTAGAAGAGTCTATGAGGATTCGGGAAACACCTACATAATTTGAGTGAGTGTTACAAAATGACAGTACAGGGTTAAAATGGTCAGTAAGTCTCACAGAAGATTATCTGTGTGACTTGACTGTATGCAGTACACAAGAGTCACAAACTGGGGCTATAGCTAAAGCACAATGCGTTCGTCAATACTTGTGATCAGATTACCAGGTAGTCCCAGAGGTCCAGGTGGGTGACCAGTGTTCTGACAGCTGTGATCTTTCTGTGTCTGCTCACAGTCAGAGAGATGATCCTGCACCCATATGAGACACAGTCCGACAGCTTCTACTTTGTGGACAATAAGCTGGTGATGCACAACAAGGCGGACTACTCGTACAACGGTGGGACGTAGAGACGACACACTGACACGAGAGACAGGTGGATGTACGTACAGACCTGAGGGACGATCACAGTACACTGGTGGGGTTCATATCCTGTCGATCCAGGTTTCATCTCTTTCTCTCTCTCTCTTTCTCTTTCTCTTTCTCCCGCTGAGAGAATTCCTTCCAGAAAACACCTATACGGGTGTGTCAGTTAGAATCTCTGTGTTTGTCTGTGTGTGAGCAAGTTTGTCAAAGCCTAAAAAGAAGCCACACAAACACAGACACACACACAGATACAGACAGCTCATGGCTTGGTGTGGCGTTGCTGTAACAGAGTGTGTTTTAACATGATAAGCCAGCAGAAAACGCCCAGTGGTTTTCAGTCTCTGGCCATATCATGAAGTGAAAAAATAAAATAAAAAACTATATCTTCAAACATCGATAGACTTTTTTTCATATTTATATCACATGCTAGAGTTTAAGAACAAAATTTTTAGAACGTAACAGTTTTGGGGAAATTATTTCCCAGATTCAGTGAGTGTGTGTGTGTGTGTGTGTGTGTGTGCGTGTTTGAGCTCTTGCTTTTTGGAGTGTGTGTGTTTCCGTACTTTGTATGATTCTCTGTATGTGTCTGTAGGTTTGTCAGTTTGAAGCATGATTACTGCCCTGGTAGAAAAATGTTAATATAAATGTCAGTAATGTGGTCATCTGGTCAAATAGATTTCCAAAACCTGTTAGCACATTTTTTACACAGTAGGCAGTGGTTTGTCAATTTGAATTTAACAGACCTACGTCCTGTTCCCTTGTCTCTTTTTTACCTACTTATTTCTCGAGTCTTGTGGTGTGTATTTACTGTAGGGCATACAGTATGTGTTTATTGTCTTTACTCAAAGCACAACGTCTCCACAGAGCCAACAGTGGGGAAAATTGTAACTGTGGGTTTGATCTGATATCACCGTAAACATTTTTCATCTGTGTACTACTACAGTTGTACTTTTTCACCCTCCTGTTGCTTTGTTTAGGTGATAAATTTTAAGTTGCACCTCATGTGTCCAAGTTAAAGTTTTGCTGTTTGTAAAAACATGAAAAGGAGAGGAACTGTTGATATGTTTAAGTAAGGAAGAAGATTGAGGAATACAGAAGAAGTTGTTTAAAGATCAAACCACTCATCACCCTTACATATTTATTTGTTTGTGTCTATTTTCTAATTCTTTGTTTCACTGTTACCTGATTTCTGCCTCTCATACATGTATATCTCATTGTTTCTGATCTGAAACATTCCAGCTGGGAGTGAGTTAGGACCTGAACTTCAGTATGTAACTGAACTGTATTGGGACACCTCTAAATTGCAATATGCAGACTTTCTCTCTGTCTGTGCTGAGACACTCTAACTCAAATTCTATTCAAATATTTCTTTGGCTAGTTTATCTGCACGTGATGTCAGACTTAGTTTGACAACAGCGTGATGCTACTAAACCGCACCTGTTTGTTGAACAAAGGTTGCAATTTATTTGAGCTGGGATGAAGATGTGCAGTCAGCTGAAGGGAAATTACTTGAATGCACCTGTTTCATTGAGATTGTCATTTGCTGATTATGAGTAAAAGGGAATAAAAGGTTGACAGACAAAACAGCAAATGTGCTACAAGCAGCGAATACAACAGGAGAGGACTCAGACTGACTTGAATGTTATGTGAAAAATGTAACAGATGTGTAGAGCAGATTTATTTATAACTGATTGTGACTCGTGTACAAATTATTTTGAACTGATGTAAAGTTTTTGACAATACAAATGTTGCTGTGACTGAACAAAAGTAAAATAAAGATTTATGGGACTTTTTGAAATATTGCAGTGTCTTGACTGTTTATACTGTGAGTAAGTGTGAAGTGGATGAAAAAAAGAGATCACACACTTTGTAATGTGGTTAACACACTTTACCCTGTTGGGATGTTCTGTCTGCCTTACCAGTTTATTACATTGTCCTGTAATAAACAAAAGAAGCCAACCTCCACTAGAGTTGTATCCTGCTGGCATCCTTTTATCTAAAGTTATCCTTCAACCAAACTTCTCATCTGCAGTCTATTCACTGTACACGATGTTACATAATACTGTCCTGCTATTTATTTGTGCACTTTGTGTTTTACCTTCTTGCTTAAAGACATTTTGATGTATCACCTCAACTTTGTGTCAATAATTACCAGAGTGGATTTGTTGATTTTTTCTTCTCCAGCTGATGGCAAGACTGGAAAGTCACTGCGTCTAACACATACAGTAGAAGCCATTTGGCACATAACTTTTTTACACTTCACTTTTGGCACTAAACAAACATGTTACTCAATTCATTAGTAAGCAGTTGTTAGGTGTTTTTTGTTGGACAGAGCCAGGCTAGCAGTTTCCTGTTTTCATGCTAAGCTAAGCTAGGCTAACTGTCTGCTGACTGTATACTTAATAGACAGGTGGGAGAGTACTGTCATTCTTCTTATCTAACTCCTGACAAGAAAGAAAATAAATGTTAAACTATTCTTTTAACAGCTTTCACCTATACTTCTTTACAAAGCATATTTCCAATTAAAAAAAAAAAAACATCTTTAGGTATACAGACACTTTGGTGTTTACAAATTACAGGCCAAGAAACATAAAGCAAATATGTGGTCATGGTAAAAACAGTACAGCAAAAGTGCTGATAAAAAATGAGATATTCCATAAAAAATTTAACAAAAGAACCACAGTAAAAAGTTAAATTAACTGATACAATATATATATACATACATATGTTTACATACATATTGTATGTAAACACAACATCACTCTGACTGATTTTAAATACTTGTGCACTCTTTGGAAATGATAAATTAATGAAATGATGTCACATTCAGAGATTGTGCAAAAGGAAATGGCCTCAAACATGTTTTTGTTCAGCCAGTGGAATGACTTGAGGAGGTACTGAACATTAACAAAGGAGAGTGATAAACTGATAGTGCCTGAGGTTTATCAGTTTTGCCTGTAAATGCCTCACTTATTTTATCAAGTTGTGGTTTTAAAGCTTTGATTGTCATTTAAATGTTGATTCATAATACTGAGACAGATGGAAAGAGCAGGCAAACAAGTTGTGCTAAGAGGTGGAAGTACATCACTGCTAAAGTGTTTGATTTGATTTGATTTGATTTGATTTGATTTGATTTCTAATCCAGAATCAGTTTGCTTATACCTAGTACATGTTTGAATGGAGTAGGAAGAAGTCAGACTTATCCAGTCCTACCCCATAACGTCATCTTATACAAAAATTTTCATGCATCATTGGCTGCAAGCAGTATCTCTACTGAACTCTACTGAGTCTGAACTGTATTTTGTTTTGGCACAGGTTCTGTTTTTTGTTTGTTTATCACATTCACTGCAGCTACAGTTACTCCCTCATTCTATGTCATTCCCTCGCTCCATCCCTCTTTCTTTCTCTGTTCTTCCTTACTTAAGTGTAAGTGTAGTTACTTGTAGTGTTAGTGTGGTTACTTGTAATATTGACCCAACTAGGGAAAGTGCCCATGTCAAACATGGCATATCCCCAGGTGTTGATGCCTAAATTAACAGTTGCAATCCCAACGAGGTTCAGAATAAAGCCAGTGCTCACCTGAAGGAACAGACACACATTCTGATCAGTAGGAGTACTGTTCAAAAAGCCCTCCCTCCAGACCAAAACCAAAACTCAAAGCATCTCTGAAAACCCTAGAGGTCCAGTCATCTGTCCTGCATCAGTATTTCTCTGGTGTTTGTAAAGTACACTTCCCTCCTACTGTATGTATAAACTCACCATGTCCATGACTTTGAGGTTTCCATGTGAGAAGGCGATGGCATTGGGTGGTGTGGCCACAGGCAACATGAAGGCCAGAGAGGCAGATATGGTGCAGGGCAACATCACGTACAGTGGGTGTAGCTTAATAGCTGTGGCCTAAGAAACACACCAGTACAACAGTTTAATACACAGAAAAGATTTGTTACCATTTTTTTTAACCACATACCATTTTCTGTGTTCAGTTTACCATTGAGGCCAGTATGGGCAGGAACAAGGTGGTGGTGGCTGTGTTGCTGGAGCACTCAGTGAATGTGGCCACCAGCAGACAGAGCACCAATGAGATGGCAAAGGGGGGAATATTCTGCAGAGGTGACAAGCACTCTCCCAGCCACTTGGACAGACCTGATATCTGCAACCAAATGAAACAGAAGGAAGAAGACATGTTGATTTGGAAAGGAATCTCAGTATTAGCCCTGCTGTTGGTCAGTCCACTAAACACTTAAAGAATATTAACAAATACCCCTCTTATGTTCCCAGAGTTTAACGTGATATCTTAATTTTTTTTTTTTTTTAACCTGACCAATGCTCCGAAAACCCATTTATAAAAATAAGAAACACAAAAGTGGTTTGAAAAGCTTTTTGCAGTACATGATTGAGTACTGGAAATGAGCAGTTGATTTTACGTGAAGCATTATCAAATCTGATTGGTCAGCACATTCTTCCAGCACAACATAAAAACATGAAGTCTGAAAGCCTCATGTGTTTTTACCTCACTGCCGGCAGCCAGAGCATAGCCTCCGCCCAGCAGCAGGACGATGTTCCAGGGCATCCGGTCATGGACCACCTGCCAGGTCAGCACAGTGCGGAGAGTATTCACCTTCTTACCTGTGAGACCCAGGTCAAGTTGAACATGAAGCATTAGTAAGTTTGAAAGAGCAGTGTCAGCTGGATTTTAGGACACATGAGCATCATTGTGCAGCACTCATGGGACTTTGTTTTCTGTAAATGTGATTAGCGGGGTTAAAATAAAGATTTCACCTGCATCGTTGAAACCGTAGCCTCCACACGTTGGCAGCTGGGAGGGGATCACGAAGAAGAGCATTGCCATTAAGATCGCAACAGTCCCATCCGTCACATACCTGAGACACATAAGGTAACATTATCCAACATATTGTTGTTTAAATATATAAGTGTTATTGATGTAAAACTTCTACATCATTTCAGCAAATGTTCCAAATAGGCTATGTTCTCATTCTCAAGCCCCTGACTCCAGAAGCGTTTTTCTTCTTTCAGTGGAAACACAGGGCTCACCAGGATAATGTGACAATCGTGAATGTTTATGACAGCAAGTTGACAGTATTGGCGAGAAGTTGTTCACTTTGACTGACAAACACTTAAGTTTATGGCTGAGGCTAAGATTAGGGGTTATGGCCATAGGGTTAAGGTTCAGGATTTCCTAATTCAACTGACAACTTAAGGCCGAGGATGACATCGCTAAAATCTTGGTCACAATCCACCATCTTGTCTGCAGTGAGTTCACTCTCATTTAAAGCTCTGTGATCAGATGTGATGTGCTCTGTGATGATTTGACCAGGAGGGTTTAATGCCAGTCCAAGCCACAGAAGTACTACTTCAACTGTGAGTCACAAAGCACTGTTAATGGGAGCAATGAATGGGAATTTTGCTTCCAGAATCAGGGGTGCCCAACCCTATGGCATGAATATTAGACTCCACAGAAAAGACTTGTTAGGAGCATCAGTTCATTGTTGCTTTGTTATTGACAACAGGAAAAATACAGAACATCACCAGTCACATATACCCTTTAAAGTCCTGGCAAAAAGAGGAAAGAAAAAGCAAGAGACTCACTCTCCCGTCTGATTGAAGAGCACTGTTGCCCAGCCGTCTATGAAGCCTGGCGCCCTGGTGAACCACAGCACCACCAGAAGGATGAAGACGGTGAGCACGACCCCCTCACCAAACGACATGCACCCCAGCTTACGGTACTCCTCCTTGATCACTGCATACGCCTCCTTGTCCCTGCCACTTTTCATGCCACAGCCAAATGATCGCTTCAGGCTGAGAAAACAAGTGCAAAGTGCAATGAAGCTACAGATTGATCAGCAGCTCAAGGAAATGTTTACAGATATTTCAGGAGGAACTAAGTTCACTGAAGCAGTTTCTATAATGAATGTTGTAGTCTTTTGCTAAATCAGATGATTTCTTCACTGTTTCTTCAAATACTAGGTAAGTGTCTGATTAGTGAAGGTTCAAATTTTAATTAAGCTATTGTCAGGATGTATGTAGTGTAATTCACACTTGATGTGTGAGTCATGACTAGGCTGGAGGTGCCTTACTTGAAGCCCAGGAATACAATCTGAAGCCACAACCAGGACAACACCAGCATGAGCACCATGTTGGGAAAAGCAAAGCCAAACCAGCTGGCAAAGTTGATCACATCGCCATTTTCAGGGAAGAGTCTTCATGAAAGAAAAGAAAGATAGAGAGATGAGAGGGGGAAAGGTGAGTAGAAACAGAACAATCAGCTCTTGCATATCTTCTCCTTTCTTTATGCCTTACTTGTCCATTTGACCTTTAAGAATGAGGTTAGGGGTAGTGCCAGTGAGCGTGGCCGTGCCTCCGATGCTGGCAGAGTAACACACACTCAGACATATTCCTTTGGACAGACGGTCGAACTTCGCGTCTAGTGCTTTCCTCCTGGCCTCCTGCAGTGACTCAGGATTCCAGTCATGTTGATCTGGTGCCCAATATATCCAGTAAGTTAAAGTTATTGGAAGGGTTACTCTCTAGAAACGATCAATCTAGCAGATGTTTTTACTTACACACTCTGTCCTCATGCTGAATCTTGGTATCTGGTTGTTTCTCATTAGTTACTTCCTGCATAGTTTCTTTGATCTCGAGCTCAAAAGCATGGTTGTCCTGGACTGTAGCCTTGAAATCTTCTTCATCCTCCCGGGCCTCTGTGGCTTTCAGCTGCTGCAGCACGGCGTGGGCGATGGGCAGCATCATGGCTGTGGAGGCCGTGTTGCTGATCCACATGGAGAGGAAGGCCGTGACGATCATGAAACCAGTCATTAACCTGTGTGGCAGGGCAGAGAAAGGGAGTAAATATGAGGATAATAATTGTGAAAAGGATGGAGATGAAAGGAGAACAGTTACAGTAGTATGTCTGCATCTGTGCCTGTACTCTCAGGCCCATCATAACCAAGATAAGATTAACTGACTTGTTAAGATGGGTTTTTTTTTTTTAAGTTGATGCTTCTGGTTGTTCAAAAGAAATAATACAAAAATGGCTGTCAGTGTAAATTCATAGAATATGAATATCCCAAAGAGACACAAAAACAAGTTTGCATCAGGAGACAATTTGTGCAGTAATTGAGCATCTTGATAAGTACTGTGACTGTAAATAAATGTCACGTAGAAAATAATCTGAAAATGTGAACAAATCAAAACTCTAAAGATCCTTGTAGGCACTGCTGTAGTTTATAAAGGTGAACTGTTTCTTACAGGGATGGACGAACACCAATCAGCAGCAAAACTCGGAGAGCAATGCGCTTATGAAGGTTCCAGTGCTCCACTGCGATCGCCACCAGCAGGCCGCCAATGAAGAGTATGTTAGTGTCTCTCAGATATTCCACACTGACCTGAAACAGATCACACAGACACAAACTTCAGCAGAAGAATAGACAAAACAAACATTTGCAAAACAAACAGCAGCGTATTGAACCGGTTTAATAACCTGTGAACCTGCTGTGCACTATCATCCAGTTTGTTTCATGATCTCTGGGGTAATTTGTTTGTGATGTTTGTAAAGCTACAGCTATGTATGTTATTTGAGCATTTCCACTTTATGCTGCTTTGTACTTTTACTTTACTACAAACCAGAGAGAAAGGTACTTTTTACACCACTACTTTTATTTGCCCACTATAGTTACTAGTCAATTTTCAGATTAAGTTTTTATTTAACATTTTTGATAAGTTTAAATACATGCAAAGATTAAACCAGGGGCTTCAACCTTTTTGGCTTGTGATCCCTTTAAAAAGCGTTTTGTTATCACGCCTTGATTATCACGAGTTATTGCTAAAAAGTTATTACGCCTCTAAACTTAAACAAATGGTTTCATTTCAGTAACTCTGAGGCACAAATTATACATTATATTATAAGAACCTTGCTTGTTTTTCTTCTTCTTCTTCTTCTTTTGCTACCAACTCGATCTCACATATCATGGCAAGGGGGCAAATACTAGAAAACACTAGATTAGACTACCTAACTATATATAAAATACTTGAGCTTCACCTCAACCAGCTCTAATTGTAAAAGTCTGTTTACACATTGATACAGAAATATGGAACAAGTAATGTCATTGTGCTGAAGAAGTTCTTTTACTTTTGATACCTTAATATAGCTTTCTAATAATGTTTTTAAATTTTTACCAGAGTAGGATTCTGAATGTAGGACTTTTACTTGAAATTGAGCATTTTAGCCTGTTGTAGTTCTACTTTAACTTAAGTAGAATATCTGAATTCTTCCTTTGCTATTGAATCTGTCAGTCATTTGATTAACTGAGGGTTAAGATGTCAGAAGGACACATCAAGTCCAGCTTCATTTACCTTAAGTAGTTCATATTTATTCTTCTGCTTTTCCTGATTCCTTGGTTACAAAAAAATAAATAAGGGTTGTACCTCTCCACCCTTCATGATGCCCATCATAGGGAAGAGGACAACTGGTAGCAGGGCAGTTATAGCCAGAGGCATACACTCTGTGCACCAATACAGAGCCATGATGATGATGGCATAACCACATTTTGCTACCTGAAACACAAACACACTTGGTTCAAAAAAAAAAAAAAACACTGAAATACAAGTGTTCAGGGCAAAATGTTTAAATTAGAAGTGACAAACATCATTATCTGTGCAGCATTTTGTCATTTGACATCTGTAATTTGCTGAGATATGTTTGACCTGAGCAGAGACATGCAGTGTTTCAGCTTCTGTAAAGCTTATCTTATCTCCAGCCTTTCTGTCAAAGGCAATAAGACTTTATACATACAGATAGTAGTAATCCTAAAAACAGTTTGTCTTTCTTTCTGTCTCAAGGGATAACTCTTTATGGGTCTGCAGTAAAATCCCTTTTCATAAATGCTATCTAAATTACTCAACTCAAAGCTTTGAACTACCGCATCACCAGATCTTGCTCAACTCAGCAGGTCATTCATCTTGCATGAGAGTGTTGGCTACACTTTTAAAACATTAGGATAATTAATGCAATGACAATAACTAATTACAAAATAGAATAACAAAATTTGCAAAATAAGTTGATTATTATGGGTCATTCTTTTGCACCCCGTACACCTTACGTATTACATGTGCACACTGCAATAGTGTCAAGTATATACATTTTTGCTCTTAGTAGCATTTATTTTCTTTATATTTAAACAACATCAAATCATCCTATTTTCATTAAATTGGCCATTTTAGTTATATTCATTCTCTGAGTTACTCCTAAGACACCTCTGCCTGAAATGCCGACCATAATGCTGCTAACACTGCAGACAGTTTTCTGATGCTGTTCCTAATACTGTCCCATCATCCAACTTTCTGTAAAAGCTGAACAAACCCAGTGCTTATTTTTAAGAAATATTTGAAAAAAAGAGGTGCACAGACATAGCTTTATTCAGAACAGTAAACACAGTGCTGAAGCCTACTACCTGAAGCTGTCATGAGGCTATACCTGAAACTTGTATAAAATAAATAAATAAATCCCTTACTTTTCTTTGACAAAGGTGACAATATTAGATCTCACACATCAGTCCATATCCATGGCACCTCCAAATTAACAGATCTCCCATGCAGTTTTAAATATGTCATTTGCATAATTTGTAACCTGTTTTTCTTTCCTTTATGTTTGCTTTTTTAAACAAATATTTGAAGGCGCTGTCATCCCTGGGGCAAGCAGCTCCATTCCATACACCTTCAAATAAGATGAAACTGAATCAAAAAATATACTTAGATCGAACTGTACTCAACACCTTCTGGCCTATCTTAAAACTATGATCCTAAAAAAACACCAATCAGATGTGTATGTGCCGTCATGCTGAGCCAGCTCTACTCAGTGTAACAAATGATTTACTACTGTCATTAGACTCTGGACACCATCCTATTGTTATTCAGTTGGACTTTCTGTTGCTTTGATGCTGTTAACCATCCCACATTCCTGTCTCAAACATGTTGTAGGCATTAAGGACAAGGCACTTGACAATTTACATCCTATCTGAAACATACAGTAGATCAGTATCAGTTAAAATGAACAATTTCTCATCCAAGTATGTTACTGTTTCCTGTGGTGTACCATAAGGCTCCATGTTAGACCCTATAGTATTTTCACTGAAAATGATCCCACAGGGGTCTGATTTTAGAAATTTTAGAAAACATCCCTTGTCAGTGGTTTGCTGACAAAATGCAATTTTATTTCCCTTTGGTCCATATTATTGATCCTCATTGTTTACCCAACCGTTCTTGGCCCACTGTCTTCAAATGTGTGTACTGTACACATAACATGGAAGGTAGGATTCACTTTTGACACTGTTAAAATTGGACAGCCAAGTCCACATACTATTAATGCGTACATACTCACCGATGTAGGGATGACGATTGGCAGGGGAAGAAACACCAGTGGAGTGACAACAATGATGATGTAGTTCCTGTGGTACCACAGCCATTTCAGCCAGCTAGCCATGAAGCACCTGGAAAAAGTGACAAGCAACCCAGAGGTAAAAACTATCTAGAGAGCAGACAGCTGATCAAGACAAATATCAGCTGATTAGAGGCAAGAAAAACAAAGGGCCAGAGGGCTAAAGATTAAGCTGCACCCCACGGTCAGGTGAGATAACAGGAAAGAAAAGAGTGAAGCTGCAGAAAAGCAGATGTGTGCTTCACAGAGAATCACAGAAGAAGTGACTTATATGAGCTTAAATTTTCTTTTTATAGCTCTGGTATCATATCAAACATTAACTCAACACCAGACAGATAACAAATGAAAAGATGGTCATAAAACAGATATCTTTATTATCCGATATGCATTTGCATCCCTTTCTGGGTGTTTTAAGAGTCTTTGTAGGCATTTTGTGTCTCTTTATGGTCCTTTGTCTGTCCTTAGTTTTTTTTTATGTCTTTGTAGGCATTTTGAGTCTCTTTCTGTCAGTTATGTGTCATTTTGTAGTAATTTTAAGACTTTCTTTGAGTCTCTTTCTAGTCATTTTAAATCCCAGTTTAATCATTTTGCATCCCTTTGAGATTGTTTGAGGTTGAGGTTAACAGGTAGCATCCCTTTGCTAGCTGTTAACCATATTTTGAACAAATCTCTATCCAGACTTTATAAGATATTGAACATCTTTTTTTTTTCCTTAAAAAAAAAAAAAACAAACTTAAATGACTCAAATATCGGCACCCTGAAACATTATTTAAAACAACATGGATTTCGGCTTTAACAAATTTAAATTTGTGAACCAATAAAGTGCAAGAGTGAGCATTTTTTTCTTAATCTGTTGTTAATAAACATATAGTCAGGTGACAAATTTAAAAGAAGCATCAACATAAAGTGTCTTAGTAAGGGCCAATTCACCTAGGGCGCCAACAAACCCAGGGCCAGCCCTGTCCGGGCTAAATTTTAATAGAAGGATTATGTTTGCTTTATTGTTGTGTGTTTTCTTCAGAGATCAGTAGAGGATAAATACTGCCTTGTTACACAATGTTTGAGTTCAAATACCCTCACTCTCCCTGTTACTTAGCCGAAAGTTACATATACAGAAAATATTTACTTTACAAGACAACTGCGTCCTTTTGCGGTTTGTAGTCCGCGTTGTCATTTTGAATTTCAGCCATTTTCTTAATTAAGAAATATTCAAACAAACCATCAATGCAAAATTTAAAGTAAACTAGCAGCATTTTTAAACTTGGGGTGGGAACATCCTGTGCCTTAGAGTGAGCATGTTTGGATGATGTTCCTGGGACAAACAGGACAGAGTTTAATGATTATCACAGGACAGTGCTGACCAATCAGAAGAGCAGGCAACCTGAGGCCAAAAGCTTCTGAAAAATATCTATTGATTGTCATCTGCACACAGGGTCGCACACAAAAGTAGGGCACTCAACTCAAGCTTGACTGACTGATGGTCACTGGTGTAAACAGGCAGAAAGGTTTGCAGTTGTCTACAAAATTCTACTGTTTTAGTTTGTTATTAAAAAGTGAAATATTTTCTGAGTCATCATGAAGCCAGCAGTGACTGTACTGGGCTTTGTCCTGCTGCTGGGCTCCACCTTTGCTGCAGAAGGTAAGTCTCTGTACTCAGGAATTCATATACACTGTACTTTCTATTACAGTGTAATCCTCTACTATTATAAAATAGTACTAATTATTATACAAGGGTAGATTTAGTCTGGACAAAAAGTAAAAGACTCAGTAGAAACTTTCCCTCTAGATACTAATATGCATGTGCATTACACAGCAATCTGATTTTTTTTTTTACATAAAGTATAAATTATTATTATTACCAACATAATGTACTTTTGGGTAAAACATTAGCTTCATTAATCAAGTACACATTTAGTATACAGTATATCTGAATAAAAGAAAACAATATGATGTTGGTTTTTCTATTTATTTATTTTAATACATTGTATTTTTAGTAAATGTTTTTTCTAAAGCAGTTGTATGTGTTGAAACATAACAAAGAAGCACACAGTCATAAAATTTTTTTTAAAAAACATACAGTGACGTCTTGGAGTTATGACGCATTTAAATGAAGAGCAATGTAACTAAGTATATTTACTGAAGTACAAGGACATTTCTCAATTATTTCTATTTCTCTTGAGTATTTCCATTTCATTTATTGTATTTATTTAGTATATTTCTATCTTTGTAATTCTATTAAGTTTCAGATGGAAATATTGTACATTTCACCTCAGTACATTTGCTTCATAAGTATGGCTACTAGTTACTTTTTCAGATTCAGATTTTGCAGTAAATAAAAATGTAATAAACTTATAAAATATAACACAAGGTTAAGGATTAGACCCGTGATATCTGGCCATTTTGGCTTGTGGATTCTTAATAAAAGTACCATGAGTAATAGTTAATTCAAGTTTCTTCATGGTCAGCTACAACAGTAAAATTCTGCTCACACTGATGAATCAGTATCAACAACAATCTAATCATCTAATGTTTAACTGTTTATCAGTCATAGGAGATTTATTTCTGTAGAATGAATACTTTTAATACTTCAAGTACATTTTGCTGATAATCTTTTTGTGTTTTTTCCTAAGTGGATATTTAAACATAATACTTTTATTTGTAATGGAGTTTTTAGTCTGCAGCCCATTTCACAGAAACAAACAAACTGCATTTCCACAGAGTCATGTGTGGGTCGCTGTGGCTCCTTCAACCCGCAGAGGAGGTGTCAGTGTGATTCCAAGTGTGTGTACTATGGAAGCTGCTGTGGAGACTTTGACACCATTTGCCCCAAAAAAGGTCAGGACTGTACAGCAGTAGAATATCAGCTATTTGTATTATATTGAACAGAGTTCTGAACTTTTATAAGTGGGTAATTTCTACTGAAACATCTCGATATGACAAAACTTTCTCCTTCTCTGCCCCGGGTAGCTCGTGGTGATACATTTGCAGAGGAAATAACAGAAGCAGTGACAAATGTCACACCAACTCCTGACCCAGGAGCAACAGCTCCCGCTTTCCTCTCCACCACCACAAATGAGACCACATCGACTGCAGCCCCTGATGCAGAGCCATGCAGTGGTCGCCCTTTTGATGCATTTCTGCAGCTGAAGAATGGGTCGATATATGCATTTAGAGGTAAACCTGGACATCAGAGAGGGTTTCTGTCCCAAAACAGCTTCTCTATTGTTGGTTGTGCTGAATATTTTCTGTTAATTAATGCATTGGAAAGTCCACAGATTTTCAATTTTCAGCAATCTAAAAAAAGGTACCTAATCTCCAGACAAACATCAGGGATCTGTGGTCATCCAGTAAAGACCTAACTGAGTCTCTTATAACACTGATCCGAGGCCTGCTGTTCCTCCTAGGTGAATACTTTTTTGAGCTGGATGACACATCTGTACTACCTGGGTACCCCAAGCTCATCCAGGATGTGTGGGGAATCTCAGGGCCCATTGATGCTGCATTCACACGCATCAACTGCCAGGGAAAATCCTACATCTTTAAGGTACAAGCCTGTCATTTTAGAGTCTACTGTCTACAAGGGAACCCAAATTCATTCATAAAAATTAAAATGTGCTTAGTTAATGGTTTATTAAAGGGCTTCTAAATTTGTAATCTGGACCAAAAAGAGCTAAAACTTTCACTGGAGAGCAGGGACAATGTAGTGACATGGCAGGTACGTACGTACGTACATACATACAGTACATACATACATAGATAAAGGTAAATTAAATCATTTTGTCAATTATGTCTGATGATTTATAAAAGTAACTGTCATATTGCATTTATAGTAGACATGCAGTGGCAGTATCAAACATTGGGCTCTGTGTTTATTCCTCTTCAGGGGAACAAGTACTGGAGATTTGACGGTGATGTCTTGGATGAAGACTATCCACGGGACATTTCAGATGGTTTTGACAGTATGCCAAATGACATCAATGCAGCGTTTGCCATTCCAGCTCCAAGTCACAGTGGCAAAGAAAAAGCTTACTTTTTCAAAGGTATTTGTGTAGCAATGTGTGATGTTTTTCATTTCTGAAAAGCACCTTATACCCAGTGTTGGCTGCGGTGATTCTACATGACCATGGATGAAAAGTTGTGTGAATGGATGCAGCACTTCAAAGCAGTGGTTTCTGATCTTTCCAGCTTGTGATCCTTTAAAATGAAGCAACTTGATTTACAAGTAATATTTAATTTAAAGGAGGACTTTTACTTGTAACACAATATTTATATACTGTGCTATATGTGTGTGAATTGATGCTTTTACCTAATTATTTAAAAAATGAGTATTTCTTCAGCCACTATCTTATCTTAAGTGCCATTTTCCTGTCTCAAGCATTATGTGGGACAAACAAACTTTTTTGCAAGGAGCACAGTAAAAATTTGTTGTTTAAAATTTAACAACAGCAGTGAAGATTCTTGAAGGCCAAAAATGATATCTACAGAGTAATAGGTTGCATAAAACTGAGAAAAATGTGAATTGTAAGTTTTCATTTTTGTTCACAACAAACTTGTCACAGTATGAAGGCCACAGGTGTTACTGACAACTTTAATATAGTAGCACCCTGAAAGTGCGCCAGCTAAACTAACTAACTAACTAACTGTTTGTTTGTCTCTTTCTACAGGGGACACATATTATCAGTATGAGTTCAAGCACCAGCCTTCCCATGAGGAGTGTGTCCTCATAAGCAGGTCCTCCCCATCCGTGCTGTTCACGCGATACACAGACCTCTTCTGTGACCAGACATGGGAGGAGTTCTTCACAGACCTCTTTGGAAGCTCCCGTAAGCCTCAGCTGTGTGTTTTCTTGTTTTTAGCCATTTAATGTTAATCTGTTTAGGAATGTAACATGTCTCCCCAACATTTAAAGCCTAACTTAATGTATAGTCCCTGTTTTTAACTGAGGCCTAGAAGAATAGAAATCAAAATGGGTCAAGAACAAAACCCAGTGGGATTCCTTTTTACTGTTTAGAAAAAGATGATTTTTCAGTATTAAAGATTTCTCATAATTAAAATATAACCTGCTGTTCACAGCTGGAAAAGCAGGAATCGGATTAAATTTTATCAGAGAAAATATTACATTATGTCAAATGCCTTTTCAAGATTAAAAAAACTACCCAAACACCCCACTCACCATCAAATGAGGATTTAAGCTGCTCTTTGAAAAAGCAATTAGCTGTTTCTGTAGAATAATTAGGGCAGAAGCCTATGAAAATGTGACTCTAATCATACCTAATTTCTTATTTTTTATCTGCATGAATACCTCCATTATCCAGTTTTTTTTCTCCTCATTCAGCCAGCAGCCACCACACAGGCCCTCGTTTCTTCATTAGGGACTGGGAAGGCATCAGGCCCCCTGTAGATGCGGCTATGGTGGGAAGAGTCTCCTTCAGTCCTAAACCCACACCATCTTCTCCTCCGCTAGCGAGGAGGAGGGGCAGTCGGAAGAAGAGGCCCAGCAAGAAGCGTGGGCAGCGACGAAGGCAGAGTCGCTACGTGTTTGATGATTTTTGGGGTTACGATGATTGGTTTGACTACAGTGACTACACTGACATCACTGATGTGCACACCACACAGGAGCACACAAGCACTCCTGTTCAGAATGTGTATTTTTTCAAGAGAGGTATAAATTCATGAAGTCATTTTTATCCTTATGGTTGTGTTTCAACTGAGGCAAATTTGTACTAAAAACAAATACAAGAATAAAAAGGTTCTCTTTAGGTATCATGTTTTAATTTCTATGCTTCTGTTCTTTTTATGATGGCAGATAAATACTACAGAGTGGATCTGCAGACAAAACGTGTGGACTCTGCCAACCCTCCTTACCCACGATCCACTGCAAAATATTGGCTGGGCTGCAAGCATGAAGAGACACCTGATGCATCAAGAGCAGAGAGGAGATAAGCTATAGGCAACCTGACTGACTGGGCAGTCTGGAGACAAATAGAGAAGTCTACTCTTGACAAATATTGAAGTAATTGTAGTATGACCCTCCATACAGTACCCTTTACCCAAACCAATTTCTGACTTTACCTTGAAATTTAAATCCTTCAAGAGGCCATGGTGTACACACAAAAAAGTTTCATTTCCAAAGTGCAAAGCTCTGTTTTGTTTTCACAAATAGTGCTACATGTTGGTGGTACATATAAGTGTCTATTTTCTGATGTAACATCTCTAAATGCACACACTGGCCTCTGTTGGTCTATGTATTAACCTTCATGCTTACAAGAATAAAAGCTTGTTGCAGTGTCTTGCACTGTGAACCTTTTTTTTGTTTCTATAAGTGCACCCTCTGCTGGACATCAGCCACAAAAATAAAGACAGAATGTAGTTCAAGGTTTTGCCTATGAAATCCTGTCCTATAGTTTTATGTTTTGCCTGTCATCTTGGAGAATCCCTTTGTTGTATTTGCCTGTTTTATTTATTTATCGTCATAGTTACCGTGTTCACCAAAAAAAAAAAAACACACAAAAAGGCACCGCTGGGATTCGAACCCAGGATCTCCTGTTTACTAGACAGGCGCTTTAACCAACTAAGCCACGGCGCCACCTTATGACGAGTTCGACAGTAGACAATTTAAATATACACATTTTAGTGGGTAGTTCTGTTTTATTTTATATGCTTATGTAATACTCTGCACTATGTGGATATTAGTAGCCTACTGCTATACATTTTACTCAAATAAGAAATTCCCTTCTTCAACATATATGCTCTATTATAGTTCACAATGTGGTATTGAATACACAGCTAACTTTCTTCCTGCGAGCTTTAATCTGTCAGCTCAAAAGATAATCAACCATTGCCGCAGAAATGTCCACATCCGACAGACTGAAGTCACACAGGTCCCGAAAACACAGACCGGACAGGTCGCCCATGAACTCGTCAGTGCCGGAGAAGCACTGGTGGTCCAGCTGACTCTGGACGCCCTCCTTGGGTCCAGGGTGTCCGACTACAGCGCAGCGACTGCCTACAGGCTGAGATCCCTGTGCTTTGAGGAAAAGCTCAAAGTCCTCAGTCAAATCCCATTCACTGAACCCACTATATGGGAAAACATCGCAGCAGTTATCAGTGAGTTCTAGCAAAACGTCTGGGAGATCCGGTCCATGTGGGGTACAGAATGAAGCCTGGTCTGCGGCGACAGGGGATGTGGGTGCCTGCAGAGACATAGCCTGAAGCCTGGTGGAGTGAGGTAAACCTGGAATAGGGCGTCCTGATGGAGACGGTAGGCTAGGAGGAGGCGGGAACACAGGCGCCAGCAGGGGAAGTGGAGAACTGGGAGTTGGAGTGTAGCTGAACTGTGGATGCAGGTCGTCTGTGGGGTGTTTGCGGACTTCTCTGGCTGGTTTCTTGCTTTTGAAAAAGCGTGCGCGTCGATTTTGAAACCAGACCTGTTGAAGACAATGAATTGTGGTTATTTCCATACAACACTTGAGCATTATCCAGAATTACACATAGCAAAATTGTGACGCACAGATCATACCTGAATTTTAGACTCAGGAAGTCCAGTTATGGAAGCAAGAGACTCCTTCATTTTAATGTCCGGGTACTGTGTGACGGAGAAGGCCCTCTCCAGCTCGCTCAGCTGCGCCTTGCTGAAAGTCGTGCGCTTCCGACGGCGCTGGGTGTCTGAGTGCGACTTGTAGGGAGCATCGTGATGAACTGCAGGTAGAAGAAAAGTGTTGGTTAGGCTCATTATCAGCTTCTCTGTCCCTCCGTTGAATTACTTTAATCTATAAATCGCACATTTTCAAGTATCAAAATGAAGAGAGCATGCATTTATATTAAATTATAAACTCTAAAACTGACTCAGGAAGCAGCAAGTTATTCAGTCACTCACCTCTCTTGGATTTCTGTGCGTAATCACCATTGTTGTTCACATCCAGGCGCGTTGCGGGCCAGTACTGCCCCGAGTAAAACGTGTTTATCTGGGGAGCATCACTGTTCAGCCCGAAAGGCATTTTATGTCAAATTCAAACACGAATGTTTCCTCAAGTCTGCCCGAGAACTGTCTTCCACACTGCTGAACATGAAGGTTTGTAGAGGTTTTTATACTCTTCTTGACAAACACACAACGACCCCCTGCACCCCACCCTGTTACACATCTCAGTGGTTATTGTCGAGCATCACAAACACGTGTCTTTGATGTGTTATTCAGCTATTAATGGCTGCCCGGCTAATAGGTGTCTGTTTGATCCCCGATGACCCATTAACCTGCCCATTTAGCCTAGGAGGGCCTTGTCCTAACATGTCGGAGTGTCACAAAACAACACTGAGATCTTCCAGTACACTGCATCTTTATTCATTTCCAAAGGAATATTGGATGTACAGTTGATATTTTAGACGCACGGGGCTCGCCCTCATTTATTTATGTATGTATTTATTTGCGTTGTGTTCTGTGCCATATTTGTAAAAATTAAAAACTTATTGTGACTCACAAAAGTCTAATATCATGGCCGACATAAAGCAAGAATCACACTTCAGTCTGTGGCACATCCTCCACAAGTCTTCTGCCTCCTGGTGCGCATCAGATAAAACTGTGTGGAAGTGTATTGAAGGAACCGCCGGAGTTTGAGGGTTCCGTCAACTATAATGTGTCGAGGTGACAAATTGGGCTGGTTCTTCTCCTTCCTGGTCGGCTGCACTTCCACAGATTGAGACATCAAAACACCGGATAATGCACAGTCCGAATCACAGCAAGTTTCCAGGGTAGTGCCAGACTCAAGCCTTATGTGTCATTACAAGCAGGATTTAAATTCTGGCAGGCTGAGAGAGTTAAACACTAAGACAGTTTGATGGCGCTGTTTGTCTATTGACTTCAGGTTTAAGCTATTGGTTACAATCAATCAATATGGAGATGTGCGTGGTGCAAGAAAACATTCTGGGGGCTCACAAAAGATGAGACAACACTGATGATTGGCTCAAAGTAACACATTCACTCCTGCGCGTAATGGACCGTCAACATCATAACTCAAGCTAATGCTGGCCGTCACATGATTCACCTTGAGACAACAATACATCGATACCAACAGATGAGCAGTAGAAACCGGGTCACATGCTTACCCGTGACCTCTGTGAGCCATGACAGCTAAAAAGACCCCCGCGGTTTGCATTTTGCAATGTATTATTTGTGATATCACCATCTATTGAGTTTAGCAGCCCTAGTTTATTCTAAATATGTATAAGGTTAAAGCTCCTCAGTATTTGTTGCTTTGGCAGCAGGACAAGGGTGAGAGTTGATTGGAGTATTTAATAAATCTCCATCTATCTAATCTATCTATTGACTGTATCTCACAGATAAGGCCCCTTTTTATTGTAAACAATGCTATTTACTTTCCAAGTCCATTAAAATCCTAATTGATTTCAAATGTAGGTACATTTTTTCACATGCTAGCTTCACTTTTAAGTAAATATTCATCCAGCTAATATAAAAAAAACATGCATATGAATAAAGGAATTATAGATGACAAATTAAAGAAACAATTCAAATTAAATGATGGGGAAATATAACAAAAGTTTCCCACACAGAAGACATTTGGGCTCAGTGTCATCATTGTGAATCATACAACAAATGGGACACCTATGGGAGCATTATCAGACTTTCTCTGCCACCATCATCAAAACACCAGGGACGATCTTCTAGAGAAATGCACCCATTCTTTTAGTAGAATTTGGGAGCATATAAACTGTTCTGGAGACTCGTATTTGGCCCAAAGAGATGGTGTTTTTTCCTCAACCATGTGTTTATGTGAGAGAAAAAATAATAATGGTGCCTAAAGACAAAACACAGATTTTCACTTACTGTTTGCCCAAGAGTTAACCTGCACTTTTTTTGTCAAATTGGACCCATTATTTAGTTTTTTTGGTTGATTTTAATGAGATTTTGATGTAGTGTACTTTGGTATAAATTTTACTGAAATGTCAAATCACAAATAGACATAACCTATTTTAGACATTTATCCTTTTCTTTTCACACATTCGTTGTTCATGCACATCATCTCAGAAAAAAAACACTACACGAACTGTCCTCCTTTGTGCGTCTGAATGTTTCAGACTATGCCTCACAAATGCAGGTGTGCACACAGAGAAACGTTGGTTTTTTGTCCACACTCCTCTCCAAGGAATCAGGATCCACACTCAGGTGTGAATGACGCTCTGCTCTCCTCTCCCTCACCTCGCTCCTTCCTTCACAATACACAAACACCATTCCTCAGGCTGCTGTTTGATGTGGAAACATCCACATTTCCTGTCAACCTGAGATATTTGGGCCTAATCCATGTGCAGGCATGGCAGAGGCGAGGGGGTTACTCCTTGCCTGTGTGTTGTGCTATAAAAGACTTTCTGGAACTAAGGAATAGAAGCTGAGTGTGAATCCTGCTTGGCTGTGGATAAAAGAATGTCAGACTAGAGAAAGAAGGTAAGACTAGAGATATGATTTAGTGCAGCTAAAGTTACAAAATAAATAGATTACTATGGCCCAGAAGGCAAAGAAACTGAAATATCCAGTCAGCATCGTTCACTGCAACCTAGCAGGTTGGTGTGACTTCAGCTTGACTTTAGATGAAAGTACAGACGCAGGAGTCCAGAGCAGAGCGTCCGTGATGAAGGGAGTTCAGGTAGAAATAAGCACCTTACATGATGTTTGATAATGCGTAAACATACATTTTGCTAATGCAATAATATTTTCAAGCCTGGGGGAAGTCAACTTTTCCTAATTTGTCAATCTGTCGCTTTGCCTTTCAGTACTTGTCCTTAGGTTAGTACAGTGAAGAAATAAGTAAAGCCCTGTGGACTCTGGACTTGAGTTACAATCACATGAAGGTATATAATATTATTAATTATTGATGCATTATTGTGTACAGCATATGTTGCAGCCTAAATGTTTGTAATTTGAATTACTGGTGGGTTGGGAATTTCCCAGTGAGTAAAAGCTTATGATTATATTGTTGTTGTTTGTGTGTAGTCATTTCCAGTTTCTTTGTTATTTTGCATCTCATTATGGTAGTTCCCCCCCCCCTTATAGTTATTTTGTCTCTTTGTTGCCCCTGTTTGTGGTCGTTTTGTCTTTAAACTAAGCTTGATGGCTTAAAAAGAGAAATATTCACAATCATACAGGCACAGGATCAGGGCCCCTGACCTCTCGACTCCTGGACTTGTGCCCGGTTCGTCTTTGGTCTTCCATTCACTCATGCAGCCTGCTGGCGTGGCTAAAACATATTCACTAGATCCCAAGCCTCAGTGAAGTCTGCGTCTTTGTTTATAGCCAATACCTATGTGTTTCCCTTTATCTTAATGTGAACCCAACCTCCACCCTAACCCCGACTGCCCGGACCCTGGAGCTAGTCTGCAAAACATCCTTTGAACACAAAAGAAATAGCCTTACAAATACAGACCTTAACCCTACCCCGTTATCTGGCCTACAGTTACCTCTTCCTACTCCCGGGTCTTGGGATTTAGCTGGCGCCTCCTAAAGCTGATCCTGGTCCCGCCTCTGTGGGGGAGTGACCTAACGGTGGAAGGAGAGACGAGTTTCCAGCGCCCTCGGCATACAGCTCTTTTGCTGCTGGCTACAGTTAAGACTAAGAAGGACTTCCAGACATTGCTAGGAACAGAAATAATCCAGGTAGGGACAAAACCAAACCAACCGCGCAGCGTTTTGTGTCTGTCGTGTAAAACGGTCGAACTAACCGCGGCCGGCGGAGCTGCGGTAATGTCGCGAAATGGTCGAAAGTCTTTGTAAAGAAATAACAAACCGATAAGAATAGCGGTCCACCTGTGTGACGGAACACAGCGTGCTGCAACTTTAGGATAGTTAGATAATAATAAATGTCCGCCATTAATGATATGGTGAAGCTGTACCGGATGTCACCGTTAGTGTTGTTGTGTGTGTGCACGTCAGCGTCGTTTATTACAACTGTGACCCAGCAGTTACCTGTAATTCTCCTGGTGGTTTCTCATTACAGCACCTGTAAAGGTGTTTCTGTAAAAGAAGGGCAGCGCGCGCGCGCACACTTACATTAATGGATTAGTCTACAACATACAAGTAAAGGTCCTGCAGTTTGAGTTCTTCTCATAACTGACTATATTTTTTCAGATATCTGCAATTACTTACTTGTTAGTTAATCATTGAGCAGTTTTAATAAAACCACACACACAAAACATTGTCTGGTTGCAGCTTCTCAAAATGTTGCGTTCACTGTCCGACAGCCCTGACCACACTTTTTTGATGTTGCATCTATTGTAATTGATAAAAGTCCTATTACTGATGCAGTTGGTTGAAATTAAGCTAATTTGAACATCACCCTGATATGTTGTAATCTGGAAAATGTTTTCAGTGTGTCT